TGTTTATGATTATGATACATGTTATCTAATACATGCTTGACTAAATAAATAAATAAATAAATAAATAAATAAATAAATAAATAAATAAATAAATAAATCAAGCAAGCAAGCAAGCAAGCAAGCAAGCAAGCAAGCTCCAAAGAAATGCAACCAAATAAGGGCATTAAGAGTTAAGTAAAAGGAACATTCGGTGGCCTTGGTTTAATGAGCTTCAAAAACCTTTCAAACTTACAACAGGCATTGAATAAGTGCTAATTACAACTGGTCCTGGAATTCCAGATGTTGCAGCATCTCCCCTCCCAATGATTGTCATCCACTTCTTGGTACCTGGCTCATGATTACAATGCTGCAGTGAGCCATGATCCCAATTTCTGACATTCCCAGCTGGCTTTCCACAAGCAAAGTCAATGGGAAATATGGCAGGAAGTTGGAAGTCATGATTATATGAGGTCCTTGCTTAACAACCCATGCAATTCTTACTTAAGAATGACAGTTGGGACTGCCAATCATTGCACTTTATAACTGCATCACTTAGTAATGACAATTCTTGTCCCAATTACCATAGTAAATCAAGGACTACCTGTACAGCTTTTACAAATTTTGATTGAATGACTTGAAGTGTTTTAGAGACGTACAATTAAACACCATATAGCATTGCAACTAAAATGTTAGCACTAAATAATTTAGCTTCTGTTTGGGCAGAGTTGCTACAATGTTGGACTGTATATTTAACAATCTCTAGGGTTGTTTTTAAAGTTTTATTTTAAGATCATTCACTTGCAGGTACAATGGATGGAAGTTTGAAAGTAATCCCCAAAGAATTTAGAGCAAATAACTGGCAACATAAGCACTTTCTTGGGAATATTAATACCTTTATTTTAGTATTCCCTAGAGCCAGTGTAGAGGGCCAGTTTGGTGTGCTACTTATGGTGCTGAGCTAGAAAGCAGATCAGACCTCAGATCAGTCACTCTCTCCCAGCCCTAGGAAGGAGGTAAAACCAAACCATTTTCAAACTCTTGCCAAAAAAACTGCAGGGACTTGTTTATGCACTTGCCAGGATCAACACTGACTCAAAGGCACACATGCACACACACAAAATCTGTAGAGAAGTAAGATGATAGAGTTTTAAATAATCTATGCATACTGAGATGAGTTATAGATAGAATTCCTAAATCATCCACATATAAAAATGGAGGTGAGACAGTGGATGAGAGATGGAGGCTAGAATTCTGGTTTAGCAAAAATTTCAGTGTTATCACTGATGTAAATATTGAAACGTTCCTTGTTTAATGTCTTTTTGGTGGATATGTGTTCAGTTGAATTTCTTTTGTGATTATTCTTCTGTTGTGAAGTAACATCTGGTGCAATGTTGTTATAATTAAAAGAGACAGCATTCAATCAATGTAACAGCTAATTTCTTCCAGAGTCTGTCACATGGAATTGAATCAAACTCTGCCCTTTAATTTAAAAAAGCAACATACAGTTTTTGATTAACTGGAGTATGCCTTGGCTAGGTAATGTTAAATTATGCTTAGATCCATTGCTGAATGTTGAAATCTGAATACTGCCTGTTCAGGGATCAAAACGTTCTCTCATAGTACCCAATTCAATAGTCTCTATTATAAAATGTAACATATAATTTGCTGATTAGGAATAAAAGACTTTTTGGTCAATAATCAGTTGGGTCACACTTGGTTAGGTGTGGAAAAGAAAGAAAAAGAATAAATGGATTAAAATTCTTAAATTTCTTAGTCTACCACAAGGATAATTGATGGATTATATACAAGAGAAAAACTTGGATAAGAAGGAAAGAAACTTAAACAATTTCCCAAAACTACTGAGGGTGGGAACTGCTGTTCAACCGCAATCAAGAAAGTAAGTCTTGTGCTTTGATTTGCACAAATTTATTCTGAGATCCTAAATAGTTTTGATTTTTTTTTTCTTATCTTATATGATCACAAAGTCTGGGAAGCCTGTTCTGGGTTTGGAATGAAAATTTAGACTCTTTAACAAGATAATATTACTCAATTAATTCTAGGTTCATATAACAGGGTTGGCATAATATTCACAGGTAATTATTTTCTTTCTTTCCCTTCCCCTAATCTCTCTCTCCCACGCAGACACATATAGAGAGAGCAAGAATTTCATTTTCTGATGAAGGATAATGGAGCACTAATCATAACCCAGTAATTTCTTGTTTTAAACTAATGAATACCGTCAATGTAACAAATGCTATTTTTACTACTTTTGGTCCAGTGAAGCTTTAAATCTAGTCTAATCTTATTCTGTTAAGAGTTTACCAAATTATCAGTTTGTTAGTATTCTATCCAGCCAGCAAGCTGCCTTTTATGGTGCATACTAAGAAGACATTTGATTCAAAGTAACTGTGACATTTCATTATTGGACATCGACTATTCACTTGGACTCGCAGGCGTCCAATTTAAAGCAAAACTAGCCTGGCTGCTTCAGTCTCTGTCTTTCATATTTAAAGAACAGTGTTGTCCTAGATCACAAGGAGGTGGATTTGCAAAAGTGAAAAAACAGAATACTCTGCCATAGGGCATAAACTAGGGAACACACATCTTTGCAGAGAAGGGAGAGAATAACAAGACTGAATAACAGATTTTTTCATCTGAGTTAAAAGAAACCCTCTGTATTTTACTGTGTTCCTCTGAAATATTTAGTCATATATATAGAACTATACAGTAGATAGTTTTTAAATCAACAGCATTAACAAGAAAATGGGAGGAAGGGAAAGGCTATTTTCCCTTCACACTAAGAAAAGCTTTATTCCAGATGCTATTCTCTCATTGAATATTTGATTTGCATCAGATACATCTACTAAACAGGTGCTCATGAATTAACATTTGGGATTGTTCAGAAGCCAAACCAATCTACCTATCTGCCTAGCCCAGCCACTATCTTGTCTCGTCAGACACAATATATCATTAGCATCATGGCAGTGTTCCATAAAATCTACTCAACCCAACCAAAAGAACTTACCCTTTTCATGGAATAAGGAACAAATAAAAAGGTTTGTTTAAAATGGGCATGTGCGCACGCATGCACACACACACACACACACCTGTTCCTTTGGTCCTATGAATCTGGCTCCATATAAGCTTCTATGAAACTGCCCTTTTGGAAGAATAATTATGGGATTTATGCCCAGTTACAAGCCACATTCTATGACTCAGGGAAGGCATTCTGCCCTAGGAATTTGCTAGGATCAAAACCATAGGATATCCAACGCTGTGAGTGTGAAAGCAGGCAAATAATGAACTGCAAAACAAACTTGCCTCTCCAGGGTAACTCACAGAATGAGCATCCCACTGTATTCGAAGTAAGATTAAAACTTTGGAATGATTATTTATTATTAAGTCTGACTAGTGTAACCAAAAGGTAAAATTTGCTTGTTTTAGGATGATCTTTTCAAATCTGATATTTTGCAATCCATTGAACATTTCAATTACTTCATGCATACACTATACTTCTCCTGGTACTAAATATTTCTTTCTGCATATAATCTTAACTTTTGCAAGTAATTATTTGGCATATTTTAAAAAGCTTTTCTTTACCATTAGTATAAGCATCTGGCTCAAATGAACAAGGATTCTTTCATCCTTGACACAAATGTGAAGAATCAGTAAGCTAGCCAGTCTGAAAACTACAGTTGGCTTTCCCTCATGTTTAGGAAGACATTCAATAGCTTAAAAAACAAATTGGACCCATGGACCTTAATATTTGATTAGTAACAGATGCATGTAATAAGTATCACTTTGCACAGAAATCACAACAGTTATTTTAATTTTCCAGTGTTAGACCTAGTTGAGTAAGTAGAGGATAGACTTTGCACTTTCATGTAAGATTAAGTAAAGACCCAGTTACTGTGTTACACCATAATATGGTTAATCTAGGAAGATACTGCGTGGATACCAGTACTACAATGTATAATCCATCATTTATGGTTAGATGTATTATGTAAATTTTGTCAGTTACAAGTTATTCAAGTAATTATAGGTGATATGTCATATCCTAACACAACAGTATAAATGTGCTGTATATAGCTCTCTATGGTATTTTGTGATGTATGAACCCACATATTATGGCTTATACAGTATAACATGATGTGTTATATGGATATTCTTTTAGGTTATTGAGCCAAACTATATGTAAAGTGCATATATTTACTCTGTTTTCCTTACTACATTCCTTTTAATTCCTTCAAAATGACCTAGCACTGAGAATAAGCAGTGCAACATAATATTTATCACTTCTCATATTGTATTAAAGTATTCTAGTACAGTTAACCCTTTAAAGAAATTTGATAATTAGTCTTTACTGTATAATCTCTTATCAGCAATTAAATTCCAATAATTCAAGATTCCATAGTCCTAGATAAATATTTAGGAGATTAAAATGTGAAGGCATGTAATTACTGACTTATGGAGATAACAACAACAAAAAAAATCCTTACGTTTCTCTGTAAAACATTGAACACAGAATTAAATGGTTAGGGTTAGGGTTTAGACTGAAAAAAAATGTCAGTCTAAATAGAAAACTACAATGTAAGTAGAACATGGTTTTAGGCAATATTGTATACTATACACAATATGTACAAAACACAATGGATGAAGCCAATACAAAAAGCCAATACAAAAACAAACAATACACTTAGCACCATATATATCCAGTTATTATATCAAAGGCTTTTGCTTCATCAATATGTTCATAAACTGTTGTTTTGAGAATGGAAAATTTGGGGAAATCTCTGATGATAAATTCTAGTCAATCTGCTTCCTATAGGGGACAAAGTACTTTCTTAATTTTCCATATATACTATTTAGCACATGAGAATAGATGTACAAATCTCTATCTCCTGCTTTATTTGACAATCTTCCAGAAATGAGTATTCTTCAGTTGGGTTCTGGCTCCTTTTTTATACAAGTCTAAGACTCCCACCGGCATAATGACGAGTGGACTTCTGTGTATATCTTACATTTTGCATGGCATCCTGATACTGCGACAATGAAGACAGTTGAGACTCAGAATGGTATGGGGATAACCCTTTCCTAAGAGTCCTCAGATCCCCAGTGCTTGATTGCTGAAAAAAGAGAGACAAAGATGAAGCAGGACATCTGTTTAGTCCCAAGTAAAGCATGAAATTTAATTCCATTGTATTTCCTTCCTTGGCTCTTATTCCATCACCTAACATCTTGTTCAAGGCACATTTACCGTTGGACTGTATTTAGGGCTGGACACTATTGGTTGGAAGACATCAGCTACATACCTAATTGGAAGAGAGACCATATTCCATTATTCCACCTCTCCCTGTAGCCCTCAGTATCAAACATTTCTGAAGGTTTAAAGAAGGAATTTTTTTTCAGAAATCAGAAGGACTGCACAGTGGAGAAATAATTATGATAGCCTGTTGGCAACAGCTTTCTGCTGATGTTCAGTGGGAGTAGGTCCTGAGAATAATTCAATTCCACAAAATCAGAAAAATTATATTTAAATCAAGAATTTTGGGGGAACAAACTATTTTCATGACTACAAGTAAAGTATTTTCTAAAACTTAAGAAATAGTTTTCCAATTGTTAAAATTTTGTGCCTTGATGTTATTCTGTTGATCTTCCATGTCAAATAATATTTTTGGAAGAAATTTGAGACAAAATTAATAATGATATAAAGGCTATATTTTTTTCATGTCTGTTGTCTTTTAAGGGTGGGAATTATGATTTGAAAATTCTGAAAACATAAAATGAGTTACAAATCTTTAGCAATTCCTATTATTTTTTTTAGAAAATTAATAATGATAAACAAGTGGGCAATTTAGAAATAAGTTTTGGAATGCATCCATTATCTATTCAAAGTCCATTACTTTTTCTCAATCAATAGCAGCTGCATCTAAACATAGACTTAACAATATCTGAATCTCACATAAATTCACAGGTAACATGGTCACTTATTCAGATGAGGAAATTACAAACATACACATGAACACATAGCCATTAAACAAATATGTGACACATCAAAGGAATAGTTTTCACTGCAATATTACAGATTATAGCTTATATATTGCAAAACTGATTTGGGTATACTTTGCTTAAACCTTTGAAACTGTTTTGATGGTAGTGTTGGGGACACATTTGTCATTTTGAGACTGTGGTGGAATACTCAAAACCGCTCTGGGAGATATCTGTTTTTAAAAAAATGGCAGGTAAAAGAGTATGGCCAGTCACAACCTATCAGGTTGTTCTAAACCAGGGGTCACCAACCTTTTGGACCTCAGGGACCACCAAACTCATAATTTTAGATTCCAGGGACCACTAACTGGTTCTGTGGGTGTGGCCTAATTTGTGGGTGTGGCTTGGTGGTCATGTGACTGGCTGGGCATGGCTTGTATGTAAATATTATAAATATTTATATAAATATTGAATTTTTTATAAAAAAGAGAAACTTTTACCCCAAATCAAGCAAAGCAGGCAGGCAGATTGAGTGGCTCACAGAATCACAGATTCATTCAGAGATCTATCTATTTGCCATCGGCTAGTTCAGTCTGTCACATAAAATTTGCTTGCAAGCAAACTCATAAAATTTGCTAGCAAGCCAACTCACAAAATTAACTCACAACACACCATGTATGTAAATATTGAATTTTTTATAAAAAAAGAGCCACTTTTACCCAAAATCAGGCAAAGCAGGCAGATTGAGTTGCTCACAGAATCATTCAATGATCTATCTATCTATCTGCTATCGGCTAGCTCAGTCTCTCAAATTTGCTTGCTGTGAGTCTGCACTGAATTTGCTTGCAAGCAAAACTGCAGTCCTAAGGGAGGTTCAGCCGAAGATCTAAAGACTAGCTAAAAAGCAAGAAATCCAACCATTTCCTGCTTCCTAGCTAATCTAAATCTCCTGGCACAGCAGAACAGATGATGGTTGGAAAAAGGAAAAATAGAAATTTAGCACGCAAGTTTACCGGGTAAGGAGTGAGTGGGCGGGGAGGGTTCCTGCGGGCCATGTGGCCGGTGCAGCCTTGTGTTTCTGCGCAGCCTGGATTAATTGCTTTGGAGGGGGATGCTCTGGGGGTGAGATTTTTCTACAGCCCACCAAAATTTTCTCACAGCCCACTGGTTGGCGACCGCTGTTCTAAACCATTTCATAGTGATCTTTATTACATTAGAAGCTTGCTTTCAACACACCAACTCCTTGTCTGTCTAAAAGGTCAGATGCACCAGGAGGTTGTAGATATAAGGTAGATATTTGCTGACATATGTGTGTTCATGAGCACCACACCACCTACTTTTGACATATGATCCTTCTTGTTTTTTTCATCTAAGGATATTTTCTATTTTCCCAGTACAATAACAGTAAATAATAGAATAACAGAATTGGAAGGGACCTTGCAGGTCTTCTAGTCCAACCCACTGCCCAAGCAGGAGAACCTATACCATTTAAGACAAGTGGCTGTCCAGTCTCTTTTTAGAAGCCTCCGGTGATGAAGCGCCCACAACTTATTTCTCCTTAGTTCTAGTTTGCTTCTCGCTTTGATTAGTTTCCATCCATTGCTTCTAGTCCTACCTTCAGGTGCTTTGGAGAATAGACTGACTGCCCCGCTTCTTTGCGCCAGTCTCTTAGATATTGGCATCATATCACTACTTTATGAATTTCATTATTGCATCATATCAGTTGCTAATGTTAGTTACTGTCATGATTATATTATCCACTTAAATAATAGAAATGTTTAATTAATTAAATGTGTGTGTTTCTTTTCTTCATAGAATTCCTTTCGTATTCATTATGTGCTATCAAGTTGATGTTAACCCTTAACAACCACATACATTTTATATTAATACAACACAGAAAATAAATACTGTACTACAATTATTTATATAATCCCAAAAATATATTACTACCACCCCCAAACCAGTATGTCATGCCCCTGGTGGAGTCTGACTCTGAGGAAGAGGAGGAACAGCCAACAGGGAGTGGGATTGTGGCTCCAGAGGTGGTAGAGGAGGCTGGGGGAGGGCAGAGGCTGGCTGAGCAATCAGAGGAGGATCCAGGCCCATCCCCTATCCATCCTAGGTCACGCAGGGAGGAGAGGATCAGGGAAAAGCGAGGTCTACTCAAGAGGAGATTACCATGATCCTCCTCGTGGCTTGCAGGTGGGAGCTATGTATATAAGTTTGCAACTGCGCAGTTAGAATTTGCAGGAGTCAATTTAGTATTCACCTTGAAAGAGGCTTATCTTTGCTGGCGTTCTTCCCATGGACTTTTCTCGGTTATTTTCCTGGAGTTTATAATTAGTTATCTCGGCTTGCTTCAGAACTCTCATCAATGCGGTTTGTTTTGGTTTTCTGTTTGCCTCATTATTTAGTTTTGTGACTTTAAACCGTGCCTAATAAAACAGTGAAGTTAAGTTGAAGGCTTTACCGGACTTTAATATATGTTTTGGGTTTTGGGTTATTTTGAGAGACTACGGGTCATCACACAGTAGGTATTGTTATAATACCAGTTAAGCACATTATTTTTATTTCAATAAAACTATATGTTTGTGATATATCACAATAATGCTATAATATAAGGCATTTGTTATTATTTATTTGCAATATTGCTATTATATTAAGTCATTAATATTGCATCACACAACAAAACCTGCATAATAATGCTACTGTATGTCAGCAACAATGCATTCAATGTGAACCAACTTAGGCTCACATACAACAACCTTACTACTTTATTACATAAGAAAAATTAGAGCCACTGCCTTGGAGAGGATTTTTTGGGGTGGCGGAGAGGAAGCCTGCAAATTTTTCACACCATTAAAGTCTCCTGAATATCAGAATTCAGATCAGTAGGAATCCAAGAGTATGTAAAAGAAATCTGATGGGTGATACTTGATAGCCTGGGAAACTACTAATCTTCATGAACAGAAGTTCCTCTACCTCAGCACTGAAACAAGCAGCAATTTGGACACATCTTCAAATTGTCACTCAAAGAATGTTTCATGTAGTAGCATGGTATGAAGCCCTATGTTGAGCATCAATTTACAGCTAGTAGACATTTTGACTATGACTCATCTATATTGGCAAAAATAAAGGAATGTTGCTGAAAGAGATGCTGTATTTTTCTCAGAACAACAGTAATTAAAGTCTTGTGTATCACCCAATGATAAAAAAAAAACAGAGCTGTGGAGGGCGGAGCTGGCGTCGCGATGATATGGCATGCGATCTTGGAGGTCTGAGATCGCTGCCAATATCTTTGCTCCTGGACGGTCCTATCGGATCTAAACCATCCCGAAGAGATGGTGAAAGTGAAGATGTACTTCTTTCTTATTATATCTACAAAATGATTTTAGGATAGATTTGGGATGATAATATGAACTGTTATAAAATAAACTAAGTAAATTATGGTTATCTTGTAAAACATGAATGAATAAAAGCATAGTCAAATGATTGATTAATAATGATACTAAGGTATTTAATTTTTGATTGACAATATGAGATTATATGTAATGTAATTGTAATTGAAGACTACGAAATGGAAGCACAAAACAATTTGTAAACCAACTGGCACACTGTATGTACACCTATGGAAGACAGCTTGATGTTTTTATGTTTTGTTCGTTTATGTTTGTTTTTAAAAACCAATAAAAAAAAATTAAAAAAATGGAGCTGTTATAAAGTATGATGATTGATTAAAATATAAACAGGTTGAAAAAATTATGAAGTTGTGCCAAATAGGACACAGTTGGCTAGTTTAATTCTGCTAAGCTTGCTAAGAAATTACTTCTACTTTCCTCATTATAGTCAGAAGAGCTTCCAAAAGCTGAAATGGCTTGTTGAACATCATGAGGTAGAATTGCTCAAGCATCATTGTCGGAAAATATGGAGAGAAAGTCCAATTAATATAAACAATGCTCAGGTAAAGTTTATATTTATTTGTTTAAATTTATATGACCATCCATCTCACTTGTACGTGACTCTGGGCAGTGTACACAGTTAAGACAAAAATTAAATCAGAATCTTCCACAAATAAAAATGAAAAGGTACATTTAAAAACACAATAATAAAAAGAGAAAAGTGCACTCCAACTAGATAT